TAGTCATTCCTTCTGCTAACCTTGAACGTGATTGGTTGTTTTTGTGTAACTTCTCACTTTCTAGTTCACTTGTTTTGGTGTTGACTGTTTCCTTGACCTGAAGTTTGACTTTGTTTTTGTGTGAATTTCTTCGTATGGATTGGTATATTTTGTCAATCTCTATGTGTCTATTGATTGCTGATTCATTTGAATACCAGGCCTCTAGGAATTCTCTGGCATTTTTGCAGTTCCCTTTGTCTAAGATTTGAACATTGTCCCAGTCGAATTGGTGCCCGTGGTTGTCTGCATGTAGTGATATGAGGGAGTGTATGTCGTGTCTTTTGACAGCTAGTTTGTGTTCGTGAATGCGAAGACGAAGAGGGCGTCCACTTTGACCAATGTAATGTTTGTCGCAGTCGTTGCAATTTATCTTGTAGATGACGTTAGTTTTGTCTTCTTTTGCCGTTGAGTCCTTTGGCTTACATAGAACTGAGTGTAGTGACTTTGTTGGTTTATGAGCGACATCGATTCCAAAAGGTTTGAATAGTCTTGCAGTGATTTCGGAGATATCTTTTATATATGGTAGGACGACTTTCTTTGTGTTTTCGCTGGTGGCCTTTGATTTGGTTGGTCGAGCTGGGGGTAGATGTCTTTTGATGAAGTTTCGTGGGTATCCATTTCTTTGGAAGACGTCCATAAGATGATTTTCTTCAATTTTCCTCAAGGCGGGAGTGCTGCAATGAGTCCTGGCTCTCTTGAACAATGTACGTATGCAGCTAATTTTGTGTGATGTTGGGTTGTTACTGTTGTAATTGAGTATTTGATCCGTGTGCGTTGGTTTTCTGTATACTTGGGTTTCTAATTTTCCTGTAGTTGTTCGTTTGATTAAGACGTCTAAGAATGGGATTTTGTTTTCATATTCTTCCTCTCTTGTGAATTTGATGTCGTTGAAGGTGTTGTTTATTATGTTGTGGGTATTGTCTAAGTTTTCTCTTTTGATTATCACGAATGTATCATCTATGTAGCGTATCCAAATTTTCGGTTTGATCTTTGGCAGAATTATGTTTTCCAGTCTTTGCATGACGGCTTCCGCAATCAATCCTGATATGGGTGATCCCATAGGTGTCCCTTGAATTTGTTCATACATTTGGCCGTTGAATTGGAAATAAGTTGTGAGACACAAGTTTATGCATTCCATCCAACTTGAATGCTGCATTTTTGATTGTTGTATGTGTTCGTCGTTGTTGAGTAGTTGTTCCATGGTTTCTTTTGCTAGTTTTAGTCCAATCGAAGTATATAATGCCGTGACGTCGAAGGATACCATTATTTCTTGGCTGTCTATTTCAATGCCTTTGATTTTCTCTAAAAATTGGGTCGCAGATTGGATGGAGTGATCACATGATTTCGTCAAGTGTTTCAGTCTTCTGTATAGTTCTTTGGATAAATTGTATGTTGGGGTTCCTGGGAGTGATACGATTGGTCGTAGAGGTATATTTGGCTTGTGTATTTTTGGTCTGCCGTAGAATCGAGGTATGACGGGTCCATTGGATTTCATTCGCCATTGATCTTCTTTTGTGATCTGACCCGTTTTGGTGAGTTTGCTTAGGGTTCTTTGGATGCGGTTGTTTAGTGTTTCGATGGGGTTTGTTGTTAGTTGTTGGTATATTGTTTGATCTTTGAGTAGTTCTTCCGCTTTTGCAGTGTATTCTTCTTTGTCCATGATTACTGTAGTCCTTCCTTTGTCAGTTGGTACTATAACGATATCTTTCCTGTTTTTCAGTCTTTTGAGGGCTTTTTGTTCTTGTGAGTTGAGTTGTGTGTGTCGTTTTCTTTGTTTAACTATAGGCAATATTGTTTGACGTATCTCATCTTGTGAAGACGCCTCGAAAACAGACTTCTTCGCTGCTCTTGAATCAACACTCAAATCATCAAAATTAAGTGAAGAAACACAAGAAGAGATACGTCAAACAATAGTGCCTATAGTTAAACAAAGAAAACGACACACACAACTCAACTCACAAGAACAAAAAGCCCTCAAAAGACTGAAAAACAGGAAAGATATCGTTATAGTACCAACTGACAAAGGAAGGACTACAGTAATCATGGACAAAGAAGAATACACTGCAAAAGCGGAAGAACTACTCAAAGATCAAACAATATACCAACAACTAACAACAAACCCCATCGAAACACTAAACAACCGCATCCAAAGAACCCTAAGCAAACTCACCAAAACGGGTCAGATCACAAAAGAAGATCAATGGCGAATGAAATCCAATGGACCCGTCATACCTCGATTCTACGGCAGACCAAAAATACACAAGCCAAATATACCTCTACGACCAATCGTATCACTCCCAGGAACCCCAACATACAATTTATCCAAAGAACTATACAGAAGACTGAAACACTTGACGAAATCATGTGATCACTCCATCCAATCTGCGACCCAATTTTTAGAGAAAATCAAAGGCATTGAAATAGACAGCCAAGAAATAATGGTATCCTTCGACGTCACGGCATTATATACTTCAATTGGACTAAAACTAGCAAAAGAAACCATGGAACAACTACTCAACAACGACGAACACATACAACAATCAAAAATGCAGCATTCAAGTTGGATGGAATGCATAAACTTGTGTCTCACAACTTATTTCCAATTCAACGGCCAAATGTATGAACAAATTCAAGGGACACCTATGGGATCACCCATATCAGGATTGATTGCGGAAGCCGTCATGCAAAGACTGGAAAACATAATTCTGCCAAAGATCAAACCGAAAATTTGGATACGCTACATAGATGATACATTCGTGATAATCAAAAGAGAAAACTTAGACAATACCCACAACATAATAAACAACACCTTCAACGACATCAAATTCACAAGAGAGGAAGAATATGAAAACAAAATCCCATTCTTAGACGTCTTAATCAAACGAACAACTACAGGAAAATTAGAAACCCAAGTATACAGAAAACCAACGCACACGGATCAAATACTCAATTACAACAGTAACAACCCAACATCACACAAAATTAGCTGCATACGTACATTGTTCAAGAGAGCCAGGACTCATTGCAGCACTCCCGCCTTGAGGAAAATTGAAGAAAATCATCTTATGGACGTCTTCCAAAGAAATGGATACCCACGAAACTTCATCAAAAGACATCTACCCCCAGCTCAACCAACCAAATCAAAGGCCACCAGCGAAAACACAAAGAAAGTCGTCCTACCATATATAAAAGATATCTCCGAAATCACTGCAAGACTATTCAAACCTTTTGGAATCGATGTCGCCCATAAACCAACAAAGTCACTACACTCAGTTCTATGTAAGCCAAAGGACTCAACGGCAAAAGAAGACAAAACTAACGTCATCTACAAGATAAATTGCAACGACTGCGACAAACATTACATTGGTCAAAGTGGACGCCCTCTTCGTCTTCGCATTCACGAACACAAACTAGCTGTCAAAAGACACGACATACACTCCCTCATATCACTACATGCAGACAACCACGGGCACCAATTCGACTGGGACAATGTTCAAATCTTAGACAAAGGGAACTGCAAAAATGCCAGAGAATTCCTAGAGGCCTGGTATTCAAATGAATCAGCAATCAATAGACACATAGAGATTGACAAAATATACCAATCCATACGAAGAAATTCACACAAAAACAAAGTCAAACTTCAGGTCAAGGAAACAGTCAACACCAAAACAAGTGAACTAGAAAGTGAGAAGTCACACAAAAACAACCAATCACGTTCAAGGTTAGCAGAAGGAATGACTAACGACATTCAGACCAAAGAAGCAGCCAGCACCGAGACAAGCAAACTAGGGGATGAAATGTCACACGAAAACAACCAATCACGTTCAAGGTTACTAGAAGAGATGACTAATAAACTCATAGAGAATTCTAAAAGCTCACTTCACATCGAAGTATGCGCTGAAGATGTTGCTCAGTAGAGCAATGAAAGCTTCGCAACCAAACCATCCAGCTCAGAGAACACAACCACACCAAAATCATCCACCTGAGCTACAAATCTTCTCTATTATATCTATATCATACGAGCGGAACACGCTTCTTTCTGTTCGAAAGTGGGAAGACTTCGCCAAACGGCAAGGATCCACCAGAGAACAACTATTTTTTCTCCATGAGTGCCTTCGTCATCAAATTCTACCAACCAGCGTGAGATATAAGCCACCAATCAACTGCCCAATGGGATGGAAATTAGCTGAACAATGTGGAAGAAAAATGGTTAAACTAATGATTACAGATGCACATTATAGAATCAAGAAATATCAACAAATAATGGACTTTGAAAAAGAGAAACTAGAGAAAATCCTCAGCCAAGAACACCTTTCAACAACGATCACCGCAATCGCACTGACAAGTAGTAGACACAGAGAACGTAGACGAAAAGTTCTCAGAACCAAGCTAACCAAAATCAAAAAACAACAGCCGAACAATACACCAATTGATTGCGTAGTCAATTTATCAAAACAGCCGCTATCAAAAATGGAACAACAACTACTTCAAAAAGGATTAAACTACAACACTGAAGACGCCTCGAAAACAGACTTCTTCGCTGCTCTTGAATCAACACTCAAATCATCAAAATTAAGTGAAGAAACACAAGAAGAGATACGTCAAACAATAGTGCCTATAGTTAAACAAAGAAAACGACACACACAACTCAACTCACAAGAACAAAAAGCCCTCAAAAGACTGAAAAACAGGAAAGATATCGTTATAGTACCAGCTGACAAAGGAAGGACTACAGTAATCATGGACAAAGAAGAATACACTGCAAAAGCGGAAGAACTACTCAAAGATCAAACAATATACCAACAACTAACAACAAACCCCATCGAAACACTAAACAACCGCATCCAAAGAACCCTAAGCAAACTCACCAAAACGGGTCAGATCACAAAAGAAGATCAATGGCGAATGAAATCCAATGGACCCGTCATACCTCGATTCTACGGCAGACCAAAAATACACAAGCCAAATATACCTCTACGACCAATCGTATCACTCCCAGGAACCCCAACATACAATTTATCCAAAGAACTATACAGAAGACTGAAACACTTGACGAAATCATGTGATCACTCCATCCAATCTGCGACCCAATTTTTAGAGAAAATCAAAGGCATTGAAATAGACAGCCAAGAAATAATGGTATCCTTCGACGTCACGGCATTATATACTTCAATTGGACTAAAACTAGCAAAAGAAACCATGGAACAACTACTCAACAACGACGAACACATACAACAATCAAAAATGCAGCATTCAAGTTGGATGGAATGCATAAACTTGTGTCTCACAACTTATTTCCAATTCAACGGCCAAATGTATGAACAAATTCAAGGGACACCTATGGGATCACCCATATCAGGATTGATTGCGGAAGCCGTCATGCAAAGACTGGAAAACATAATTCTGCCAAAGATCAAACCGAAAATTTGGATACGCTACATAGATGATACATTCGTGATAATCAAAAGAGAAAACTTAGACAATACCCACAACATAATAAACAACACCTTCAACGACATCAAATTCACAAGAGAGGAAGAATATGAAAACAAAATCCCATTCTTAGACGTCTTAATCAAACGAACAACTACAGGAAAATTAGAAACCCAAGTATACAGAAAACCAACGCACACGGATCAAATACTCAATTACAACAGTAACAACCCAACATCACACAAAATTAGCTGCATACGTACATTGTTCAAGAGAGCCAGGACTCATTGCAGCACTCCCGCCTTGAGGAAAATTGAAGAAAATCATCTTATGGACGTCTTCCAAAGAAATGGATACCCACGAAACTTCATCAAAAGACATCTACCCCCAGCTCAACCAACCAAATCAAAGGCCACCAGCGAAAACACAAAGAAAGTCGTCCTACCATATATAAAAGATATCTCCGAAATCACTGCAAGACTATTCAAACCTTTTGGAATCGATGTCGCCCATAAACCAACAAAGTCACTACACTCAGTTCTATGTAAGCCAAAGGACTCAACGGCAAAAGAAGACAAAACTAACGTCATCTACAAGATAAATTGCAACGACTGCGACAAACATTACATTGGTCAAAGTGGACGCCCTCTTCGTCTTCGCATTCACGAACACAAACTAGCTGTCAAAAGACACGACATACACTCCCTCATATCACTACATGCAGACAACCACGGGCACCAATTCGACTGGGACAATGTTCAAATCTTAGACAAAGGGAACTGCAAAAATGCCAGAGAATTCCTAGAGGCCTGGTATTCAAATGAATCAGCAATCAATAGACACATAGAGATTGACAAAATATACCAATCCATACGAAGAAATTCACACAAAAACAAAGTCAAACTTCAGGTCAAGGAAACAGTCAACACCAAAACAAGTGAACTAGAAAGTGAGAAGTTACACAAAAACAACCAATCACGTTCAAGGTTAGCAGAAAGAATGACTAACGACATTCAGACCAAAGAAGCAGCCAGCACCGAGACAAGCAAACTAGGGGATGAAATGTCACACGAAAACAACCAATCACGTTCAAGGTTACTAGAAGAGATGACTAATAAACTCATAGAGAATTCTAAAAGCTCACTTCACATCGAAGTATGCGCTGAAGATGTTGCTCAGTAGAGCAATGAAAGCTTCGCAACCAAACCATCCAGCTCAGAGAACACAACCACACCAAAATCATCCACCTGAGCTACAAATCTTCTCTATTATATCTATATCATACGAGCGGAACACGCTTCTTTCTGTTCGAAAGTGGGAAGACTTCGCCAAACGGCAAGGATCCACCAGAGAACAACTATTTTTTCTCCATGAGTGCCTTCGTCATCAAATTCTACCAACCAGCGTGAGATATAAGCCACCAATCAACTGCCCAATGGGATGGAAATTAGCTGAACAATGTGGAAGAAAAATGGTTAAACTAATGATTACAGATGCACATTATAGAATCAAGAAATATCAACAAATAATGGACTTTGAAAAAGAGAAACTAGAGAAAATCCTCAGCCAAGAACACCTTTCAACAACGATCACCGCAATCGCACTGACAAGTAGTAGACACAGAGAACGTAGACGAAAAGTTCTCAGAACCAAGCTAACCAAAATCAAAAAACAACAGCCGAACAATACACCAATTGATTGCGTAGTCAATTTATCAAAACAGCCGCTATCAAAAATGGAACAACAACTACTTCAAAAAGGATTAAACTACAACACTGAAGACGCCTCGAAAACAGACTTCTTCGCTGCTCTTGAATCAACACTCAAATCATCAAAATTAAGTGAAGAAACACAAGAAGAGATACGTCAAACAATAGTGCCTATAGTTAAACAAAGAAAACGACACACACAACTCAACTCACAAGAACAAAAAGCCCTCAAAAGACTGAAAAACAGGAAAGATATCGTTATAGTACCAACTGACAAAGGAAGGACTACAGTAATCATGGACAAAGAAGAATACACTGCAAAAGCGGAAGAACTACTCAAAGATCAAACAATATACCAACAACTAACAACAAACCCCATCGAAACACTAAACAACCGCATCCAAAGAACCCTAAGCAAACTCACCAAAACGGGTCAGATCACAAAAGAAGATCAATGGCGAATGAAATCCAATGGACCCGTCATACCTCGATTCTACGGCAGACCAAAAATACACAAGCCAAATATACCTCTACGACCAATCGTATCACTCCCAGGAACCCCAACATACAATTTATCCAAAGAACTATACAGAAGACTGAAACACTTGACGAAATCATGTGATCACTCCATCCAATCTGCGACCCAATTTTTAGAGAAAATCAAAGGCATTGAAATAGACAGCCAAGAAATAATGGTATCCTTCGACGTCACGGCATTATATACTTCGATTGGACTAAAACTAGCAAAAGAAACCATGGAACAACTACTCAACAACGACGAACACATACAACAATCAAAAATGCAGCATTCAAGTTGGATGGAATGCATAAACTTGGGTCTCACAACTTATTTCCAATTCAACGGCCAAATGTATGAACAAATTCAAGGGACACCTATGGGATCACCCATATCAGGATTGATTGCGGAAGCCGTCATGCAAAGACTGGAAAACATAATTCTGCCAAAGATCAAACCGAAAATTTGGATACGCTACATAGATGATACATTCGTGATAATCAAAAGAGAAAACTTAGACAATACCCACAACATAATAAACAACACCTTCAACGACATCAAATTCACAAGAGAGGAAGAATATGAAAACAAAATCCCATTCTTAGACGTCTTAATCAAACGAACAACTACAGGAAAATTAGAAACCCAAGTATACAGAAAACCAACGCACACGGATCAAATACTCAATTACAACAGTAACAACCCAACATCACACAAAATTAGCTGCATACGTACATTGTTCAAGAGAGCCAGGACTCATTGCAGCACTCCCGCCTTGAGGAAAATTGAAGAAAATCATCTTATGGACGTCTTCCAAAGAAATGGATACCCACGAAACTTCATCAAAAGACATCTACCCGCAGCTCAACCAACCAAATCAAAGGCCACCAGCGAAAACACAAAGAAAGTCGTCCTACCATATATAAAAGATATCTCCGAAATCACTGCAAGACTATTCAAACCTTTTGGAATCGATGTCGCCCATAAACCAACAAAGTCACTACACTCAGTTCTATGTAAGCCAAAGGACTCAACGGCAAAAGAAGACAAAACTAACGTCATCTACAAGATAAATTGCAACGACTGCGACAAACATTACATTGGTCAAAGTGGACGCCCTCTTCGTCTTCGCATTCACGAACACAAACTAGCTGTCAAAAGACACGACATACACTCCCTCATATCACTACATGCAGACAACCACGGGCACCAATTCGACTGGGACAATGTTCAAATCTTAGACAAAGGGAACTGCAAAAATGCCAGAGAATTCCTAGAGGCCTGGTATTCAAATGAATCAGCAATCAATAGACACATAGAGATTGACAAAATATACCAATCCATACGAAGAAATTCACACAAAAACAAAGTCAAACTTCAGGTCAAGGAAACAGTCAACACCAAAACAAGTGAACTAGAAAGTGAGAAGTTACACAAAAACAACCAATCACGCTCAAGGTTAGCAGAAAGAATGACTAACGACATTCAGACCAAAGAAGCAGCCAGCACCGAGACAAGCAAACTAGGGGATGAAATGTCACACGAAAACAACCAATCACGTTCAAGGTTACTAGAAGAGATGACTAATAAACTCATAGAGAATTCTAAAAGCTCACTTCACATCGAAGTATGCGCTGAAGATGTTGCTCAGTAGAGCAATGAAAGCTTCGCAACCAAACCATCCAGCTCAGAGAACACAACCACACCAAAATCATCCACCTGAGCTACAAATCTTCTCTATTATATCTAAGACATGTTGTGTCATGGCATTTTCCATGGTAGTCAAGAGTAACCGGCTGTCAAACTTATTAGCCTATCCTGGAGATGTGACAGCTACCAAGTCTATATGAGATGCATTAAAATCACCTAGAATAAGACAGCTACTGTGTTTACTCCATTGTTTGAGGTGATCTAAAATAAAGTCATCACACTGACAATAGGAACTTCTATACAGAACTCCAATGAGTAGAATGCCAGTTGCAAAGCTTACTTCACAGCTAATCACCTCACTTGTCCCACTGTCATGTGCCTCAGATTTCACAGAACGAACATGTAGGGAGTTGTTGATGTACAGAGCAACCCCGCCACCTCTACGACCCTTAACCCGCACACCCCATATCTATGGTCGGCCTGAATTTGGGCTACCGATATCCATGCTGAAAATTCCACACTTGTACTGAAAATACGGTGTGGAATCAAGCTGTATATCAAAAAAATTAATTAATTAACCCTGTCGCTGCGCAAGCAACTAAATCCGCATAGCTCATGTGTGTCATCTAATCCAGAAACCAGCCATGTTTCAGTAATGGCCACAATACTTGGGCTAAGGTCTTCCACTAATACACCTAGCTCGTGAAATTTGTTCCCGATACTACGTATATTGGTGTACACTACCTTCAGGCTTCCTATGCGGTCTGGCTTGTCCACACAGGTCTTGGAAGCATACGTTTCCAAGACCTGACTATTTGAAAACCCACCAGTTTAAGGCTAGTCTCACCATTTTTAAGTCTTGTTTCTAGCTGGGACAAAACTTCTTTTCGTTTAAGTCTGTCTTCAAGAGATAAATCAGGTCTGACTGAAATTCCTGACCCGGCAAGGTTGTGTACATTAGCCAGTAGATGAT